ATTTTTAATCAACCAATCAAACACTTGCTCATCAGCTGAATTCACGCCATAACAAGATATAGTCGCAAGCAAGTAATATGTGCAACTAACTAATGCATTGTGCAAGTATTCAGCAAATTGAGGTTCATGTCCTTCAATAAACCACTTTGCCTCAATAAAGTAGCATCTCACCAGTTCCTTCATCTATTTAAAAGTAGATAAAGATTATTAGCATTCCCATACAAGGCATACTGAAAAATTAAGTACGTGTTAAAATCACCCCTTATTTGTCAAGTACAGAAAAGGTAACTAATGAATTATACATACTCTTTCCTTGCCATGGTGAACGGCATATGATCTTTCGCTCTTTGAGAGATCGGCTTCATCCGCTTCAAAAAGTTCTAATAAAGCTTTGTAGCTTATCTTCATATAATTTGGAAGCCTATCCATTTGACTAATATCCCACCTAATGACATGTGAAATAAATGAACTTAGTATTTCAAAGCACGTATATAAGATTCAGTAACTCATATGGATCTTGCTATAGATCAGATCATTCTATGTTTTAATTCTTCTTAGACTTGATTGATAAATTATACTTGTAATGTATATATATTAAGCTACTTACTTGTATATAGCATCTGTGTAGACTTCAAGTTCTTCTATAGTACCATATGCATCATATGTGTCATCCAAAATCGAAACCATTAAAATATTTTTAGCTAGCATAACTCTAGCCTTAGAGTATTGAGGCTCAAAATACACCCCAAGTGCCCAAAAAAAAAGCACTCAACCGCTCTATCCCTCGCATAAGGAAGTGTTGTCACAAAGTCCAATTCTTTCCACCACCTACACATGTGCAATAAGGAAACTGAAATTAGAACCTAAGAACATGAGGCCTATAGAATAAGAAATTAAATGTGCATCCATAGATTTTAATGTAACAACTAGGTAACTAATATTACCTTGATACTTCACTGAGCTCTTGCTTGTGTAACATCTGGCAGGGGCGGAGCCAGGATGTGACGAAAGGGGGGGGGGGGAGAAATATTGGTGTGTTATTTACCTTAAAGTTTCGATAATGTCTGCCCTTGAATTTATTTAGGTTTACACTTCGTTGACGCAATCACATCTAATACTATGTAATACGTAGTATATTTTTGTGATAAAATAATTAAATATATATGCCTCTAAATTAGCGTGGGCACAACGGGATAATGCGGATTTTCTTATTAACTATAAAGAATTTGGGAGGTAATTAAAGTGTTTTTGCTACCATACCAAAATTAACAAAACTTGAGGGTTAAAATATTTATACAAGATAAAATTTAATGAAATATTTGATAACATTTTACACACTCATTGAACTTTTTATAGTCATACTGTAACTGTCATTACAATTTTATTAGTCCAAATTAGGTGTTGGCGTGTTGTTATCCTTTTGGAGTTTTGGTTATCACTATAAACATTGTTAGCAGCTTTTTAGTCCAAAACGAGATACTCAAACGTTGATTGCTTGCTAGTTGCTAGTACAAAAGTTTTACTAATAAATAATACTAATATAAAAAACTTAAAATGTTGGGAGGGGCAATGGCCCCCCTACCCCTGGGCATAGCTCCGCCCCTGACATCTGGAGAAAATTAAAATCCAACTTGGCAAAGTGCAGCAACATGTCATTTCTGAGTGAATCATCTGCTTGCTGATAGATTGAAATGAAAAAATGTGTTTCGATTCTTGGCATTCCTGTGTGCAGCGGTTGTTCGAGGGCGTGCAACACAAGTTTTTCTAGAGTGGTGGAGGATTGCATATGTGAAGCCGCGCCTTGAAGTCGAGTGGTTGCGAAAGAAAGGGCGTCTTCTAAAAGGTCATCTCCATGTGTTCTTATGAATGAGGCTTCGTACAAGCTTAACAGATCCTTGACATTGGACGTGTCTTTGAATTTGTTGTTAGTGTCCACAAAGCTACTAAAAACATCTGCATTATCATTGAAATTAAAGTCAGTTAAGATGAGAGAAGCTTCTAATATAAAGAATGAGTAAAACTTATCTAAAAAGAAAAGAAGATGAAAACATAAAGAGGGGTGAATAAGTAATTACCAGAGGAAATCTTGAAACCATGTTGCCTCAATAAGCGAAACTTAAGAGCACCAATTTCCAATTCATCATCATTTGCCTTTTCTTGGGCAGTATAGATAAGGTGTAGTTGATCTTCAATCTCTTTCTCAAAGTGATATGCTATTCCCAGTCGTTCCAGGACATCAATGAATTTGAGGATTTCAGCAGTGTTGCAAGTTGTTGAGTGTTAAAGAACAAAGTGTTTAGGGTTTTCAAGTGTCATATTATTCCATGATTAGAGGAGTATTTAAATACAAAGAGGTTGGGCTTATTAGTGTTTACAAGGAGTCTAAATTATACCCAATAAGCCAAGAGAATATTACAAATAAATACGAAAATACTTTCCCTTAATACCCCCCGGCAAGCTCATGGAGATTGATCAACATGGAGCTTGGAACGAAGAGAAGTAAAGCGTGAGTTTCCAACAGCTTTGGTGAAAATGTCAGCAATCTGGTCCAGAGCAGGAACATGACGAACAATAAGAGAGCCATCCGCAACTTGTTCGCGAACAAAATGATAGTCAATTTTAATGTGCTTGGAGCGTTGATGAAACACAGGATTGGCAACCATGTAGGTGGCACTAAGATTATCACATAAGAGAATGGGTGGGATGTTGAGTGGAGCCTGTAACTCCCGCAAAAGCTGCTGAATCCAAATGAGTTCAGTGGATGTGAATGCAATGGCTCGATATTCAGCCTCGGTACTGGATTTGGCGACAACATGCTGTTTCTTGGACGCCCAACTGATAAGATTACCACCATAATAAATAGCAAAGCCATGTTGTGAGCGACAATCATCAATATCAGAAGCCCAACCTGCATCAGAGAAAGCAACAAGACGATTATCTGTGCAAGGCCGTAGGTGGAGACCGGTGGAGATGGTGCCTTTGAGGTAACGAAGGATGCGCTTGACTGCTTGCCAATGAATGTCTGTAGGAGCATGCATGAACTGACACACACGGTTAACAGCATAAGATATCTCGGGCCGTGTGATAGTGACATATTGGAGAGCTCCAACAACACTACGGTAAAGATTAGGCTCAGCCATAGGATCACCAGAATTTGAGAGTCGAGAGCCTGGCTCGGCAGGTGATACAATAGGACGAGCGTCATGCATTTTGCTACGCAAGAGAAGCTCAGTGATGTATTTCTGTTGACTCAGAAAAATAGAGGAAGTGGAGCGCTTTAGCTCTATGCCCAGAAAGTAATGAAGATCTCTCAAGTCACGTAGTGTAAAGGCATCATTAAGTGCAGTCACAAAAGTATCAATCTCTGTAGAATGAGAACCAGTGATAATTAAGTCATCCACATAAATTAAGACATAGAGAGTGGTACCGTTGTGACGGCGTAAGAACAATGAAGTGTCAGATTTGCATGCAACGAAGTGATGGTGATGAAGAAACTGGCGGAGTTTTTGAAACCAAGCACGAGGGGCCTGTTTAAGACCATAGAGAGCTTTCCGCAACAGACAAACATGTGTAGGGCGAGCACGATCTATGAAACCTGGAGGTTGTGTCATGTAAACAGTTTCAGAGAGATCACCATTAAGAAAAGCATTAGCAATATCAACCTGTCGTAATTTCCACCCAAAGGATAAAGCCAAGGAGAGCACAATACGAATGGTGGTAGGTTTAATAACCGGACTGAAGGTGTCTGAGTAGTCAACACCCTCCTCCTGATTAAACCCCTTAGCAACCAGGCGTGCTTTATAACGTTCAATAGTGCCATCAGCATGCTTCTTTACCCTGTACACCCACTTACAACCAACAATATTAGAGTTACGAGGAGGTAAGACAAGATCCCAAGTCCCATTTTTAATTAGAGCATCGTACTCTACTTGCATCGCATGCTGCCATTCAGGATATTTGGCTGCTTGAAGAAAGGTCTGTGGTTCAAAGGGTATAGACGAGGGTATGGAAAGTGGATGTTTAGTGGAGAGGAGAGATTTGGGTTTAAGATGGTTTGTTTTGGAACGAGTGATCATGGGATGGGTGGAGGTATCAACAGGTCGGTAATAAGTAGGAATCATGGAAGAAGAGGGTGAGGAGGATATACCTGAGTGTTGCGCAGAATCCGAGGACTGAGCCGTTGCACCGGAGCTTGAAGATGAATCTGTAGTTGGTGCGGTGCTGTTTGGTTGGGAATGTCCGGTTACCTGGTCGGGTGAGGGAGATACCCGATCGGGTGAGGGAACCAGAAAGTGGTGTAGGTCAGGCGAGGGAGGTACCCGGACGGGTGATGGAGATACCCGATCGGGCTGGTCAGGCAGTGAGCTAGAGGGGTTAAACAGAGGAGAAGAGGGTGTGGAGGCTAGCTGTAATGGTTGAGGAGATACGGTTTGGGTGGAGGAGAGGGGGGTAAGGGAAGCAGGGTGAGCATGGGAGGGATATGGGAAGGACGTCTCATCAAACATGACATGCCTAACAATATAGATGCGGTTAGTGGGAACATGAAAACATTGATAGCCCTTGTGTTTGGAGCTATAACCAACAAAAATGCAAGGAGAGGACCTAAACTCAAGTTTGTTAGCATTATAGGGTCGTAAAAGAGGATAACAAAGACAACCAAAAGACTTTAAAAGGGAGTAGTCAGGAGGTTTGCCATATAAAGATTCAAAAGGTGATTTGTCTTGTAAAATGGGTGTAAGAGTGCGGTTGTGTAAAGAAACACTAGTGTGAAACGCATGTTCCCAAAAGGAGGAAGGCATATGTGCATGAGCAAGCAAGGCTAAGCCTTTTTCAACAATCGTCCTATGACGACGCTCAGCCGCTCCATTTTGGGATTGCGTGTGAGGGCAAGAAAGACGATGGAGAATACCCTGGGTGTGTAGGTAAGCAGAAAGTGATCTATATTCTCCACCCCAGTCGGACTGGAGTTGTTTAATTTTAGAGTTAAATTGGGTGGCAATCATGGCCTGAAAAAGTTGAAAAGTGGAAAGAACTTGTGACTTTTGATGTAAAAAATAAATCCATACAAACTTTGTGCAATCATCAACAAAAATAACAAAATACTTATTGCCATTAAAGGAATTCACCGGGGCTGGGCCCCACACATCAGAATAAATCAAATCAAAAGGATGCAAACTAGATGAGTGAGTACTAGTTAGGGAAAGTCGATGACTTTTCCCTAATTGACAAGATTCACAAATTGAAGATAATTTATTTGAAGAAATAGGTAAATTAAATCTAGAAACTAATCGACGCAAAACAGACTCATGTGGATGTCCAAAACGGTGATGCCAAGTTTGGAGAGACGTCTTTTCACCGAGGTAAATGCGAGGAGAGGGAGATGTAGTATGGGGTGGTTGAAGGTGATACAGTCCATTTTCAGCGCGTCCGGTGAGTAACGTCCGTCCTTGGAGATCCTTCACAAAGCAACAGGTAGGAAAAAATATCATATAAGCATTATTATCACGGGTGAGTTGAGAAACACTGAGTAAGTTCTTTTTGATGCCCAGGACAAATAAAATATTATTAAGATGAACAGGAGCATGTGATGCTTGTAAAGTAGAATGACCTAAACTAGTTATGGGCAGAGTCATACCATTACCAACTTGTAACCCTTCATTACCGGTGTAATTGGAATGAACAGAGAGATTACCAAAATCAGCTGTGACATGATTTGTTGCGCCAGAATCAAAACACCACGGGTCAAGTAGAGTTGAAGGAGGATTCTGAACCTGATAAGCTTGCTGGCCTGGCGGTAAAGGAATAGGATTGAGAGCTGGAGGAGCTTGAGTGTTATAGACAGAACCCGGCATGGAAGCTTGAGATTGCGGACCACGACGCGGCTGTCCACGGCGGGGCTGCTGCTGTCCACGACGAGAAGGTTGTCGTGGTTTGGTCTCAGGATAGGTGTCAAAATTTGCCCTGTGCCAGCAATTGACGGCTTCATGACCTGGTTTTTGACAGATTTGGCAAATTGGGCGTGAACTGGATACAAAGTCACCCCTACTGTCTGGCAAACCCGACCGGGTTCCCCCTGCACCCGACCGGGTAGCTGCCAATGCAGTGGCAGTTAGGGAGCTAGTTCTCTCTGAATTCAGGCGGGCTTCCTCACGCAGCAGTAGACCAAGTAGATCATGAGAACTAATGAGTTCCGAATGCAAATTGAAGGCAGAACGAAAGGCCGAATATGATGCATCAAGGCCATTAAGAATACTTTCAACAAACTCCTCATCAGGAACAATATAATCACATTCAGCTAATGCATCAGAAAAGGACCGTTTCTTTTCAACATAATCCAAGATGGATAAATCACCTTTTGGAAATTGTTGGAGTTGTGTTTTGAGATGCATGAGTTGAGCGCGATTTTGAGAATAAAACATGCGTGATAAAATATCCCACGCTTCATGGGTGGATGTAGCGCGTGCAACATGAACAAGTAATGGTGTAGTTAACATGGAACGGATCCAAAGAAGAATTAACCTGTCCTTCTTTCGCCATTCGAGATACACTGGATTTGCAACCGGCGTTGAACTAGTGGAATCGGTAGGCTTGACCAATGGATTAGGCATGGCTTTAGAGGAGAGGAAATCATCAAGCTCGAAAGCTTCAAGAGCCGAGCGAACTGTGTGACGCCATAGCATGTAATTCGAACGATCCAAGAGAATATTAAGTTTTGGTAGATTGATAGAGATAGAGGTTGAACCGGAAGCCATGTTGAGCGGGGTGCCGGAAGTGTCGTCGGAGTCCCCGTTGGCTGTCATGGGTGCGGTCGAGGAGGCGGCCGCAGATCACCCCTGGGAAGCTGATACCATGTTAAAGAACAAAGTGTTTAGGGTTTTCAAGTGTCATATTATTCCATGATTAGAGGAGTATTTAAATACAAAGAGGTTGGGCTTATTGGTGTTTACAAGGAGTCTAAATTATACCCAATAAGCCAAGAGAATATTACAAATAAATACGAAAATACTTTCCCTTAATATTGAGGCATGAAACAACATATTCCTGGTTTGCTCCTTCAAATTTTCAATCTCTTTTTCATATCCTTGTGCAATCTGGTATATAAATTAGTAATTCAATGTTAATCCACTATATGATTCAAATAGGATTAACTTTAATATATAGCAGTTTGATAATACGAAATACGAAACGTAGAAGGAAGAAGAAAAACCTGATTGTCGATAGAGAATGAATAGAAGCGATCTCCCCATAGACTAGGGGAGAAATTGACAATTGCTCGAACAATATCTGGAGTGGCCATGGTACGTTTTTTTTAATACGGCCTGGTCGGGGCTTAGTTACGTTAGACGTAGTTTTGTCCCGTTCGCTGGAAAAAAATAGTTCTTCTCCTTGTAACGAAAAAAATAGGCGAAAGAACTAACAAAGATTGAAAAGTAGACCGTAATTAGAAGCTAAGTGTATATAATATAAATTAATTAAAGAATGTATATGGTTTTGATTTGAGCTGCTTTGCTTATATAGAAGATGATGGCAAGCTGTGGTAATGGAGTCGGGGAAAGAGTGGTATTTATAGATTGGGATTTCATTTGAGTCAGAATGAATAGCTAGGAATAGTGTGATCAAATGAGGCAAATCCAGCACCCCAATTTAGCTAGCTACAGACAAGTTTGACCCTTTCCATTTTTGGAAATATTTGTTAGGACTGATCGGTCAAATATGGCATATTAGAATGTTTTTTTAGAAAGTTTTGTATCATACTGCGTCTAGCCGTCTGCCGCAGCCCCAATCGGCCAATACCACAACCTGTTGATTTTCCTTTACTTTATTACTTATGGTAATTTTTTTATTTATAAAAAAATCATATCGGAATCATTGATCAAAAAAATTAATTCATCGGTGGTCCGAGCAATTCTAAAAGAAAGGGAATCATCTTACCCATGGCTCGATGATATTAGACAAATTTTGGAAGAGAATGATAGTTTTTATCTTGTGTTTTGTAGAAGATCTACTAATCGCTCTTAGGGGCGGCTTGAACACTTTAGAGACCCTAGACAAAAAAGTCAATTAATAGTAACAAATTATATCAATGAACTTTTATGATATAAAAGTCATTAAAATGAAAAACAAATATTTCAACTCATTCAAATCACCAAAAATTAAGTGGTCACATTCTCATTTTAATCATTATTCTCATTCTCATAAAGAACGTTTCTATTATCATTGCCAACATCAATTTGAGGAATGATTTACATTCTGGTGCATAAACAAACCAAATTTCTTCTCAATGTATTCTTTTCTTTTTATATATCACAATTCTTTCATTTGTCTCTCATGACAATACCTAATACATATGGAGTTTATAAATATTAAAAAACCACAAACAAATGAGTCAACAGAAAAGCTAAAGTTTACAAATAAAATTATTACTGACAATCTTACAAATAAATAAAATATACTCCATATACATTACTACTAGTCTACTACCATCAAATCAAGTAAAAATTACTTTAAAACTATACTAGCTACAAACGAAATTACTCCAGTATTTTAGAAATAATTATTACTATCATCTTATAAATAAATAAAATATACTTTTTATACTTTACTACTAGTATAATACCACCGATTTAAGAAAACACTACTTCAAAATTATAATAGCTACAAACAAAATTACTTCATTTATAGAACATCAATATCTCAATATTAACTCAATAATTAATCATATCTCAAATCCTTGTTCCTTTTAAGACGCAGAGCCAAAGAAAATCAGGACCCTTATTCCATCTGTATTCCTCTTAGTATGGTTTGGCGGGATAAGGCTCAAATTGGATACTATGATTTCATCAGAATCTCATATTTGACACTAAGGTTTTAAATGGACCAAATTAGACACTATGGTTTCATATGTTTCTCATATTGGACACTAAAGTTTCATAATTCAATATAAGTGAGTGTCCAATTTGATCTTTATACAATATAAGTGAGTGTCCAAAACTTATGAATTATGAAACCTTAATGTCCAATATGAGATACATATGAAACCATAGTGTCTAATTTGATCCATTTGAAACTTTAGTGTCAAATATGAGATTCTGATGAAACCATGATGTCCAATTTGAGCCTTATCCCATAGTTTGGCAGTTGGCTTAACTTCAGTAAGGAGTTGTTTACTTTTTTTGCATTAAGTCCTGAATGAGTTAAGATGTCTGTCTGTATTAAGATGTCTGTCTGGATTAAGTAACACTAAGATAACAAGTTTTTTACTACTAGTATTCCACCCGTGCGATGCACGGATGAAACCTTTTACTTAAATAACATACACAATATTTTATAAAAATATAAATATGATATTGATGTTATATATATATATATATATATATATATATATATATAGCTTTTTAAGCTAAAAGGGACTTTTAGCTTAAAAAGCTAACAATCTCGATCAATAACTCATCACTCATGTTTGTCATTTGTAGGATTGATATCATGTATCGATTCATGTTAACCGACCACAATATCTTTTGGGATTAAGCCTTGGATGTTTTTGTTGTTGTTGTTGTTGTTAACACCCGAAGAAAAACCATCCAATAACTCATTTGATTAGAATTGTAATTAGGCATGCACAATTATATTCCAATTATATGACATATGTAATGTAATTTTATTTACCATTATGCGTTATGCCAACTAATAAAATTAAATGAATGCTACCAACCTGTTTTAGTATATTAATGGTCGATCAAGGTAACTTTATAACGTATAAAACCTTCGTAAAAAATGTAATAGAACTCCTTTAAAAGTGCTTTTTATCTGTATGGTTATTATTGAAATGGTACATCGTACATGGTGTGTAAACATCTCCCTAAAATAGGTCAAAATTCCGTAAATTAACAAATGGAGTACAAAATATTCATTACTAAATGAGCCTAAAATTTTCTTCTAAATTTAATTAGTCTTTCTTACACGTAGTATAATCTGGTCATCACTCATAACAATAATCTGGAATAGGCAGGAATGTAAACATCTCGAACAATAGAAGGTTCATATTTAAAAATTTACGAATAATACAGCACAGTGATTTAATTTATTAAACTGCAATTAATTTAAAAATAAATGTCTGAGTCAAACTAATATAAATTGTTTAGTTGATTCCATTTTTTAGTTATTAGTCCACCTATTATAAACATTCAAATTTGTCCGACGACTAACATGGAAGCAACGCATCTGTCCAATAATTCTATGATTGATGTTTTTGTGAACTAATGTCACCCAACTAAAAACTAATATTTTGTTTAGTCGAAATTACAAATTGATCAAAACAATTAATAACTGACATGTGCTTTGAACGGAAGAATGTTTGTGAGAAACACTAAAACATAGTTTTGTAATTTACATAATGGTACTAATAATAAATTGCAATAGCTAGTTAAACATAATTAAGAAGCATTTACGAAATAAAGTAGCCGCAATAAACAACTACCCAAATTAAAAGGAGAAAAAGAAATGTTGAGCAATGCAAAAGAAATGTCTCGTGTTTGATCCGGCTGGAAAACAGAGAATCACCTATTTATAGAGTATATGTCTATATCTGAATTCTAGATTTAATCTTACCTAGGGAAAACTGTCAAATAGGTCCTCGAACTTTCATAAAAAAGTCAATTAAGTCCTTCTATAGGAGACTTTGTCCGGTCGTCGCGATTTGGGGCGGTTCCCGGTGGAATTTTTTGATGAAAATTTTTGAGCATCTTATTCATCAAGCCTAGTTTACTCATACCAAATTTCAACTAAAAACTTAATCGGGAGCGCATTCAAATTAATTCGAGAACGCAAAAATGCGCAGTTATCTTCAAGAATTAATTTGAATGTGTTCCCGATTGAAATTTTAGCTGAAATTTGGTATGAGTAAACTAGACTTGGTTAATAAGATGTTCAAAAAAATTCATCAAAAAATTCCACCGGGAACTGCCCCAAATCGCGACGGCCGGACAGAACCTCCTATAGAAGGACTTAATTGACCTTTTTATGAAAGTTCGAGGACCTATTTGACAGTTTTCCCTCTTACCTATAGTACATGCCGTAATTCCATATGTAGAGAAAAACTCTTCGCACCTTCTAGAAAGGAATTAATGTTTTAGGACAATCCGAATTGTATTGTGGTGGATTAGGACGGTGCTGTGCTGCTCAAAAATTTAGAATGTTTTCTTTTGGACTGTTTTCAATCTTAGATCAGACCAGACTAAATCAGACCATAATTTCTGAGTTATAAAATACACAGAAATCAGACGTTTACCAGACCAGACCGAATCAGACTTAAACAGATCAGATTAGACGGAATCCTCACCAAAAAATTCAGCCGCCCGCTGAATTTTTTCTCCCAATGGGAAAACATTCTTTTAGAAATTTAATTGGCTAAGAAATACTCCGTATGATGATTGTCTGAATACTTTTGTTTGTTGCAATACTCTTCTAAAATACAGTGCACAATAACTCGATCCACTCATATCATCATACTTTTGTTTGTTGGAATACTACATCCAATACACATAGATTGCTTCTGTTGGAATTTTCCTCTGGATTGCCATACGTGTTTTCTCCTTGTACAATTTTGGGCGGGAACTTGCACAACAAGTTTTCTTTTGCTATTAGAAAACAAGTTTTATATAGTAATAAATGTGTGCTGAATGAGAAGTCTCAATTACACGGAATGACCAAATAACCCTTTTATTAGAAGAACCGCATAATGTAAAATTGAGGAAATGGAAGTATTTACCAAATGGAAAACTTCGTAGCATTCTTTTAACAAAAAGAATAAACACATATCAAGCAGAAAATGAGAATAAACACTTCAATTGCCATTTCAGAATCAGAAAAACATTTCAAATCGGAACACCAAATTTACAACTCCTAATTCTAACACGTACACCATGGTCCATGGGACGAATTGGGGCTCGGTAGTCATATTCTTAAGAGAAGATGTAGTTTCATGTTTGAGGCCTCACTTCACCCAAACCAGCTAGCTCCCTCTCTAGTGAATTGGTACTAATAGATCTATCTGTTATTGTAGCCTCAAGAGCTCAATTTTCTCCCAGCGAAGAAAACAACAAATAACAAAATGACAATGAAAGGAGCATTTTTTTTTGTAGAAGAACCCATCGTATTGCAGCACTCATAAATTTTGCATTCTTCTCACTTCTCCCTCAATTTGTATATTTTTAAAACAATTTGGGAAGCAAACAAATCAATTCTCTCAAATCAACATATGAACGACCTCAATTTGCTGTACGAAGCTTCCACCCCAGGTCGAAGCCTTCCTTTATCTGTGAAGGAGTATAGAGGCTCCAGATCTTTCTTCACTGCTGAGCACCGATCGACCAGTTTTATGGAGGCTGATGATGTCGACAGTTTGATATATATACCTTGGAGAACCGTGATAAGATATCGTTAAGGAGAAGTGCATTGAGGGTTAAGAACGAGAATCTCATGACACAAATACGTCTGAAGTGCAAGGAGAATTAAAAGTTCGCTGAGCGATTAAG